AGATGGACAATATACACACAGAGAGACAATATACACACAGGGAGACAACATACACAGAGAGACAACATACACACAGAGAGACAACATACACACAGAGAGACAACATACACACAGATACAATATACACACAGGGAGACAATATACACACAGGGAGACAACATACACAGAGAGACAACATACACACAGAGAGACAACATCACACAGAGAGACAATATACACACAGAGGGACAACATACACACAGAGGCAATATACACACAGGGATACAACATACACAGATAGACAATATACACACAGATAATATACACACAGAGAGACAACACACACACAGAAGGACAACATAGACACAGAGGGACAACATACACACAGACAATATACACAGAGAGACAACACACACAGAGAGACAATATACACAGAAAGACAACATACACACAGAGAGACATCATACACACATAGAGACAATATACACACAGACAGACAACATACAAACAGTGAGACAATATACACACAGAGGGACAACATACACACAGAGAGACAATATACACACAGAGAGACGACATACACACAGAGAGACAATGTACACACAGAGAGACAATATACACAGAAAGACAACATACACACAGAGAGACATCATACACACAGAGAGACAATATACACACAGAGAGACAACATACAAACAGTGAGACAATATACACACACAGGTACAATATACACACAGAGGTACAATATACACACAGAGATACAACATACACACAGAGAGACAATATACACACAGAGGTACAATATACACACAGAGGTACAATATTCACACAGAGAGACAATATACACACAGAGAGACAATATGCACACCGAGAGACAACATACACACAGAGAGACAATAAACACACAGAGGTACAATATCCACACAGAGAGACAATATACACACAGAGAGACAACATACACACAGAGAGACAATATACACGCAGAGAGACAACATACACACAGATACAACATACACACAGAGAGACAATATACAGAGGTACAATATACACACAGAGGGACAACATACACAGATGGACAACATACACACAGAGAGACATTATACACACAGAGAGACAACATACACAGAGAGACAATATACACACAGAAAGACAACATACACACAGAGAGACATTATACACACAGATGGACAACATACACACAGAGGGACAACATACACACAGAGAGACAATATACAAACAGGGAGACAACATACACATAGAGACAATATACACACAGGGAGACAACATACACAGATAGACAATATACACGCAGGGATACAATATACACACAGGGAGACAACATACACACAGAGAGACAATATACACACAGATGGACAACATACACACAGAGAGACAATATATACACAGAGGGACAACATACACACAGAGGGACAACATACACACAGAGAGACAACATACACACAGAGGGACAACATACACACAGAGAGACAATATACACACAGAGGTACAATATACACACAGAGGTACAATATACACACAGAGAGACAACATACACACAGAGAGACAATATACACACAGAGAGACAATATACACACAGAGGTACAATATACACACAGAGGTACAATATACACACAGAGAGACAACATACACACAGAGAGACAATATATACACAGAGGACAACATACACACAGAGACAACATACACACAGAGACAACATGAACACAGAGGACAACATACACAGAGAAAACATACAACAAGACCAAGATCCCCATATAGCCTTAACTGACTTATGGGGCAAGTGTTAGCTAGCACCAATGAAGGCTGACACGGCACACGATGAGGTGGGTGGCCAGCACCACGCCGGGCCGCCTTTGTCTCCCTAGTGGCGATGTTTACTGCACACCGCTACACCAGGTACTCATTTGAGGCTGATTCAACATAGGGGAGGCCCAGAACCGGTTCAGATAATCGTCACTGTTTTTGGCCGTGAATGGGAATCGAACTCGAGTCTTCGTGTTCATAGCGCAGCACGCTAACCACTACACTTCCGATCAGGGAGAAGAAAAAAACAATTTAGCGATATTTGTGATATTTAGGTTTCACTGGAAACACTCATGACTCATAGACACAAATCATTGTAAGAGTGTGTGGAGATCATATTCTTTGGGTCTTTCGGTAAAGTCAAGTAGATAGGTTCAAAGAAAATAACAAAAAATTACGACGTTCCGATCGCAACACAAGCGGTCGTCATCATAAAAAGGGGGTTAGCTTTGAAAGCAAACTGTTTATAAAGGTTTAAAGGGGCATAGCCCAAATGTCAGCAGCATGGGCGGGGCAGCTAATCTTAATGTGAGTGGTGGGCGGCGACCGCGACGGTGGTGGGTTTTCCACCAATTAAATGGCTGCCAGGTAAAAATTATCATGTTAATGTAAGATCGGTGAGTGGCCTCCACGACTGCGGAGGTGGCTATGCTAATGTGAGAGATTAGCATGTTAATGTAAGATCGGTGAGCGGCCTCCACGATGAGTGTGCTGAGGTGGCTATGTTAATGTGAGAGATTAGCATGTTAATGGAAGATCACAGATCCGCAACCTCTAGGTCGGTGCGCGAAGGTGGCTGTGTTAGTGTGAGAAATGTAACCTGTTAATGTAAAATCGGAGAACCCAAAATCACAACTAACATCGGAAGGTGGTAGAATGGGAACATCACTGCCAGTTATGACTTAAACTGGTTGATAACGTCCTTCCAAGGATTGCTCAGTTTGTACCCATCTTCTCGGTTGAAATTGCATCTGTGTCTCTATATATGGATGGCGTCATGAACGAATCCTTGATAGCCAGTGGGTTTGCAAAGTACCTTCGTCTTAGAGATATCAATTTCGTGTGAGCCCACCGCATTAAAACAATGATCAGCCACGGCCGAGGTATTGGTCCTACCATGTTTCAGATCTGCCTTATGTTCACGAACACAGTCCGAGACATGTCGCTTAGTTTCCCAAATGTAACTACTGCCGCAGACACAGGTTAGTTTGTAGACGCCGGGGTATTGCATGTCAGGATCACATCACACATTTTTTTACCTGGCAGCCCTTTAATTGGTGGAAAATCCACCACCGTCGTGATCGCCGCCCACCACTCACATTAACATTTGCTGCCCCACCCATACTGCTGATATTTGGGCTACGCCCATTTCAAACCTTTATAAACAGTTTGCCTTTAGAAGCTAACCCCCTTTTCCTGATGACGACCACTTGTGTTGTGATCGAAACGTCGTAGTTTTTGGTTATTTTTGTATGTTGTTTTTTGTTATTTTCTTTGAACCTATCTCCTTGACTTTACCGAAAGACCGAAATAATCTGAATTCCTGCAGTCACTAAAGCTTTAAGTCAAGATTTAGTGTGTGTAGAAATCTATTATATCTGGTCCTTATGGCTATTTTGTTTATCTTACAGTTTATGATATTGGTTTTGTCTCCCCGGGGTTTTCTCAGCAATTCCTGTAGAAAACCTCTGGGCACTTAAATAATGTAGCATGTATGGTAATGATCCTGTACTGTTTGTATATTTGGCTCAGGGAACCTCGAAGAGATATCCCACCTGGCACTTGGTCCCTGCTGGGCTGAGGTGACCAATAGATGGCATCACACAACATTGGTTGTAGCGATCCTTGCAAGTCTTTGAGTTATCCCCCCCCCCCCCATATCCAAATGTTTTCTGCGGGTGCCTTGGCTTTCTCCTACCTTTAAAGCTTGAATTGACAAAATCTCCCAGAATAAGGTACTCCTGAAAACAGTCTTGAGATCAGAGAGGCCTCCCTGGAGATGGAATGACAGGAGGGGGGATGATTGTATGGGGCTCAGCGCCCGCGAGGACCTCCTGGGCGTGAGAGTCATAAGAGGTGTGCGTGAGAGTGGTGTGCGAGAGTCGTGAGTGAATGAGCGTTGTGAGAGTCATGAGTGAGAGTTGTGAGTGCGAGTCGTGAGAGTCGTGTGTCCTTGCAGCATGGACGAGGCGGGGAGTGTGCTGAGCGAGACACAGAGCACGAGAAACGTGGAGACCTCGAGGCGCGACGCCCTGGAGCAGCAGTGCGCGGGGCACACACGGGTCAGGAGCTCACCACGCTCACCACTCCCAGAACCACTCCCCACTCACCACGCGCACCACTCCCAGAACCACTCCCCACTCACCACGCTCACCACCACTCCCCAATCACCTTGCTCACCACTCCCAACACCACTCCCCACTCACCACGCTCACCACTCCCAGAACCACTCCCCACTCACCGCGCTCACCACGCTCACCACTAACCACTCACTGCGCTCACCACTCCCAGCACCACTCAGCACGATCACACCGCTCACCACTACCCACTCATCGCGCTCACCACTCCCAGCACCAGTCCCAATTCACTACGCTCACCACGCTCACCACTTCCCGCTCACCACGCTCCCCACTCCCAACACCACTCCCCACTCACCACTCTCAGCATCAATCCCCACTCACCGCGCTCACCACTCTCACCACCACTCCCCACTCACCACGCTCACCACTCCTCACTCACAGCGGTCGCCGCTCCCAGCACCACTCCCCACTCACCGTGCTCCCCACTCCCAACTCTACTCCCCACCCACCGCGCTCACCACTCTCAGCACCACTCCCCACTCACCGCGCTCACCACGCTCACCACTAACCACTCACCACGCTCACCACTCCCAGCACCACTCAGCACGATCACACCGCTCACCACTACCCACTCATCGCGCTCACCAATCCCAATACCACTCCCCACTCACCACGATCACCACGCTCACCACTACCCACTCACCTCTCTCAGCACTCCCAGCACCACTCCCCACTCACCGCACTCACCACTCCCATCACCACTCCCCACTCACCGCTCTCACCACTCCCAGCACCACTCCCCACTCACCACTCTCACCACTCCGAGCACCACTCCCCACTCACCATGCTCAACCCCCCTCACCACTCCCCACTAACCGCGCTCACCACTCTCAGCACCACTCAACGCGCTCACCACTCCCATCACCACTCCCCACTCACCGCTCTCACCACTCCCAGCACCACTCCCCACTCACCACTCTCACCACTCCCAGCACCACTCCCCACTCACCATGCTCAACCCCCCTCACCACTCCCCACTAACCGCGCTCACCACTCTCAGCACCAGCCAACGCGCTCACAACTCCCATCACCACTCCCCACTCACCGCTCTCACCACTCCCAGCACCACTCCCCACTCACCACTCTCACCACTCCCAGCACCACTCCCCACTCACCATGCTCAACCCCCCTCACCACTCCCCACTAACCGCGCTCACCACTCTCAGCACCACTCAACGCGCTAACCACTCCCATCACCACTTCCCACTCACCGTGCTCAACACCTCCAGCACCAATCACCACGCTCACCACTCCCAGAACCACTCCCCACTCACCGCGCTCACCACCACTCCCCACTCACCGTGCTCACCACTCCCAACACCACTCCCCACTCACCATGCTCACCACTCCAGAACCACTCCCCACTCACTGCGCTCACCACGCTCACCACTAACCACTCACCGCGCTCACCACTCCCAGCACCACTCAGCACGATTACACCGCTCACCACTACCCACTCATCGCGCTCACCACTCCCAGCACCAGTCCCAATTCACTACGCTCACCACGCTCACCACTTCCTGCTCACCACGCTCAGCATCAATCCCCACTCACCGCGCTCACCACTCTCACCATCACTCCCCACTCACCACGCTCACCACTCCCCACTCACAGCGGTCGCCGCTCCCAGCACCACTCCCTACTCACCGTGCTCACCACTCCCAACACTACTCCCCACCCACCGCGCTCACCACCCTCAGCACCACTCCCCACTCACCGTGCTCACCACTCCCAATACCACTCACCACGATCACCACGATCACCACGCTCACCACTACCCACTCACCTCTCTCAGCACTCCCAGCACCACTCCCCACTCACCATGCTCAACCCCTCTCACCACTCCCCACTAACTGCGCTCACCACTCTCAGCACCACTCAACGCGATCACCTCTCCCAGAACCACTCCCCTCTCACCGCACTCACCACTCCCCACTAACCGCGCTCACCACTCCCAGCACCACTCAACGCGCTCACCACTCCCATCACCACTCCCCACTCACCGCTCTCACCACTCCCAGCACCACTCCCCACTCACCATGCTCAACCCCCCTCACCACTCCCCACTAACCGCGCTCACCACTCTCAGCACCACTCCCCACTCACCATGCTCACCACTCCCAGAACCACTCCCCACTCACTGCGCTCACCACGCTCACCACTAACCACTCACCGCGCTCACCACTCCCAGCACCACTCAGCACGATCACACCGCTCACCACTACCCACTCATCGCGCTCACCACTCCCAGCACCAGTCCCAATTCACTACGCTCACCACGCTCACCACTTCCCGCTCACCACACTCCCCACTCCCAACACCACTCCCCACTCACAGCGGTCGCCGCTCCCAGCACCACTCCCCACTCACCGTGCTCACCACTCCCAACAGTACTCCCCACCCACCGTGCTCACCACTCTCAGCACCACTCCCCACTCACCGTGCTCACCACTCCCAATACCACTCACCACGATCACCACGCTCACCACTACCCACTCACCTCTCTCAGCACTCCCAGCGCCACTCCCCACTCACCGCACTCACCACTCCCAGCATCACTCCCCACTCACCACTCTCACCACTCCTAGCACCACTCCCCTCTCACCACGCTCACCACTCTCAGCACCACTCCCCACTCACCACGCTCACCACTCCCAGAACCACTCCCCACTCACCGTGCTCACCACCACTCACCGTGCTCACCTCTCCCAACACCACTCCCAACACCACTCCCCACTCACCACGCTCACCACTCCCAGCACCAGTCCCCACTCACCGCTCTCACCACTCCCAGCACCACTCCCCACTCACCGCGCTCACCACTCCCAGCACTACTCCCCACTCACCACGCTCACCACTCCCAGAACCACTCCCCACTCACCGTGCTCACCACCACTCACCGTGCTCACCACTCCCAACACCACTCCCAACGCCACTCCCCACTCACCACGCTCACCACTCCCAGCACCAGTCCCCACTCACCGCTCTCACCACTCCCAGCACCACTCCCCACTCACCGCGCTCACCACTCCCAGCACCACTCCCCACTCACCGCGCTCACCACCACTCCCCACTCACCGTGCTCACCACTCCCAACACCACTCTCCACTCACCACGCTCACCACTCCCAGCACCACTCCCCACTCACCACGCTCACCACTCCCAGCACCACTCCCCACTCACTGCGCTCACCACTCCCAGCACCACTCCCCACTCACCACGCTCACCACTCCCAGAACCACTCCCCACTCACCGCGCTCACCACCACTCCCCACTCACCGTGCTCACCACTCCAACACCACTCCCCACTCACCACGCTCACCACTCCCAGCACCACTCCCCACTCACCACGCTCACCACTCCCAGCACCACTCCCCACTCACTGCGCTCACCACTCCCAGCACCACTCCCCACTCACTGCGCTCACCACTCCCAGCACCACTCCCCACTCACCACGCTCACCACTCCCAGAACCACTCCCCACTCACCGCGCTCACCACCACTCCCCACTCACCGTGCTCACCACTCCCAACACCACTCTCCACTCACCACGCTCACCACTCCCAGAACCACTCCACGCTCACCGCGCTCACCACCACTCCCCACTCACCGTGCTCACCACTCCCAACACCACTCCCCACTCACCACGCTCACCACTCCCAGCACCAGTCTCAATTCACTACGCTCACCACGCTCACCACTCCCAACACCACTCCCCACTCACCACTCTCACCACTCTCAGCATCAATCCCCACTCACCGTGCTCACCACTCTCACCACAACTCCTCACTCACAACGCTCACCACTCCCCACTCACAGTGGTCGCCGCTCCCAGCACCACTCCACACTCACCTCGCTCACCACCACTCCCCACTCACCGTGCTCACCACTCCCAACACTACTCCCCACCCACCGCGCTCACCACTCTCAGCACCACTCCCCACTCACCGTGCTCACCACTCCCAGCACCACTCCCCACTCACCACTCTCACCACTCCCAGCACCACTCCCCACTCACCATGCTCAACCCCTCTCACCACTCCCCACTAACTGCGCTCACCACTCTCAGCACCACTCAACGCGATCACCTCTCTCAGCACCACTCCCCTCTCACCGCACTCACCACTCCCCACTGACCACGCTCACCACTCTCAGCACCACTCACCGCGCTCACCACTCCCAGCACCACTCCCAGCACCACTCCCCACTCACCGCACTCACCACTCCCAGCACCACTCCCCACTCACCATCCCGTGCCCATGCGCTATGAGTAGTCACGCGTATCACACCGTACCTACACATACATTCATACAGCAAAACCGCACCTACACACACAGTCACACACAACAACACCGTATCTACACACACAATCACACACAGCAAAACCGCACCTACACACACAGCCACACACAGTGACCCCGTACCTACATACAGAGTCACATAGTCACACACAGCATCACTGTACTTACACACTACACACACAGCAACACCGTACCTACACACACAGTCAGCCACAGCAACACTGTACCTACACAGTGACACAACACCGGACCTGCACACACAGTTACAGCAACACCGTACCAATACCCGCCATTTGCCACTAAGTGACTGTGACGTCACCATGGCGCCTGTACCAGGCCATTATTCTGTTATTCTGTTAAGGGAAAAGTTACCCCATGTGTTGGAACTCAATAAATGTGTTGCCTCCAAGTCTACGTCTGCGACTCAATTTAACCCATTACAGGAGCGCATTGATGGGAATTGGTCCAAATATTTTAAATGTCTGTGAGCTTCTCACACAATCCATTCTGGTTAAACCCAGGGTAGATCTTAGGCAGGCCAGCCTCAATGTTTCAAAATGGCGCGTGAAGGGCTCAACATTTTGTAAGCATTGAAAAGGGAGGGCATGAATGCACAACTGTTCCATCACTCATGGGAGGTTGAGGGGCGGAGTATTTGATGACATTAAAACACCAGTCAGGTGCTTTGTTTTGGTGGGTCTAATGGTAATGCCCTACCTCTAAGTGGCATGCTCCAAGTTCAGCAGCAATGTGTCCAACTCCTTCAGAGTGAGCAGCAATTACCAGATCATCAGCATACATAACATGGTTAACCATCGCACCTGGGCATCGATCAGCCTTCCATTGTGAATAGGGAATAGCTCTAATTCCCTGCAGCACAGCTATACCCGGGTCTGTCCATTGTAATGAAGGTCCTTAGTTTATATTATTTGGGTCTTTCGGTAAAGTCACGTTAATAGGTTAAAAGAAAATTACAAAATATAACAAAAAACTACGTTTCAATCACAACACAAGCATTCGTCATCAGGAAGAAAAATGAGGGGGAAAGCTTCTAAGGTAGACTGTTTTAAAGGTTTAAAATGGGTGTAGCGTAAGGGTCATGAACGAAGTTGGCAGGGCTAGTGATGTTAATGTGAGAAATTTGCATGTTAATGCTAGATTTGAAGCTTTCGTGACTGCAGGAATCCATTTTTTGTAATTATTTCGGTAAAGTCACGTAGGAAGAAAATCATAATAGATCACAACGTTTCGATCACCACACAAGCAATCGTCTTCAGGTGGGAGAGAGAAACAGGCTGCTGAAACAAGGCTGCTGAAACAAGTCCTTATCAAATTCACCATAGAAGTGGAAAATTATGGCAAGTTACCATTCCTGGATGTTTTGATCGAGAAGGGACCTGATGGCTCGTTGGAACATTCGGTCTACAGGAAAGCGACCCACACAGATGCCTATCTAAAAAGCCTGACTCCCACCACCATCCAGCCCAGAATAATTCCCTTATCAGAACACAACACCATAAGGCCCATTGCATCTCTGACCAGCACCACCTATCCAGTGAAATGGAGCACGTACACCAGGCCCTCAAGATGGATGGATATTCGGACCGCACAATCCGCAAAGCTGTATCCCCAACCATGGGTAGTGAACCATCTGAGGACCCAATAAAAACCATCACCTTGCCATACATAGCAGGGGTTACCAAAAATATTTCCAAAATCTTGAACAAGATTCAGGTTCGATTCAACACAGTACACAAAATCCGTGACCTGATCCCATCTGTGAAAGATGTGATTCCTGACATGCAATACCCTGGTGTCTCCAAGCTAAGTTGTGTCTGCGATAGCAGTTACATTGGGGAAACGAAACGACATGTCTCGGACCGTGTTCCCGAACACAAGGCAGATTTGAAACACGGCAGAACCAATACCTCTGCCGTGGCTGATCACTGCTTGAACGCGGTGGGCTCACACGACATTGTTTTTTCCGAGACCAAGGTACTCTGCAAACCTTCGGGCTACCATAAAAGATTTGTTCATGAAGCCATCCAGATATATAAACACAGACATAACTTCATCCAAGAAGATGGGTACAAATTGAGCAATCATTATTAACCAGGTATAGCCTTAACTGGTTGTTGATGTTTCCATCCTACCTGCCATTGTCAGCAGTTATTTCCGACTCTCTGAGTTACATTACCAATTTACATTACCAAGTTAAATGTATTTACATTAACAGGCTAAATGTCTCAGTAACAAAGCCTACGTTGCCCCTTTCCCTCGATGTGGCGGTGGCTCTCATTTTTTAGCAGACTGTGACTGGCTGTGATGTTGTTGTGTGTGTGTCTCTGTGTGTGTGTCTCTGTGTGTGTGTCTCTTGTGTGTGTGTCTCTCGGTTTATGTCTCTCTCGTGTCTCTTTGTGTGTATGGGTGTCTCTCTCTCTGTGTATTACTTTGTGTGTCTCTCTCTCTGTGTGTGGGTGTGTCTTTCTGTGTGTCTCTCTCTCTGGGTATGTCCCTCTGTGTCTCTCTAGGTGTGTCTCTCTCTATGTGTCTCTCTCTCTGTGTGTCTCTCTGTGTGTCTCTGTCTGTGTGTGTCTCTCTATATGTGTCTCTCTTTCTGTCTCTCTCTGTGCGTGGGTGTGCCTCTGGGTGTTTGTCTCTCTCTCTCCTTCCCTCGATGTGGTGTTGTTTGTTTTCTCACGAGCTGAATTTCTCACGAGCACAGCCACCGTTGCGTAGGTTTGTTTACATTGACATGCTAATCTCTCACAATACAATGGCCACCATCCTCAACTCTCGCAGCTCTCCGCATCCCCCCCCCCCCCCATTTCCGTTCCCATCTTTGGATTTCCCACTCGCTTAGGCACAATCTCTAGCCCCCACCCTCTTGCCCGATGCGGCAACCCTCCGCTCCTCTCGGCTCTATATATAAGGACTTGTTTCAGCAGCCTGTTTCTCTCTCCCACCTGAAAACGATTGCTTGTGTGGCGATCGAAACGTCGTGATCTATGATTTGTTTCTACCTACGTGACTTTTCCGAAAGAACCAAAGAGTATGTTAATGATATTTTACATTAATTCGCATGTTAAGTTTGCATTATCATGCTAATTTCTCATATTAACATCACTAGCCCCACCCACTTCGTTTGTGACCCTTGGGCTACACCCATTTTAAACCTTTAAAACAGTCTGCTTTTAGCAGCTTTCCCCCTCTTTTTTCCTCCTGATGACGATCGCTTGTGTTGTGATCGAAACATCGTAGTTTTTAGCTATTTTTGTTTGTTATTTTTTGTTATTTTCTTTGAACCTATCTACGTGACTTTACCGAAAGACCCAAAGAATATGATTTCCTGCAGTCACGAAAGCTGTAAGTCAAGATTTAATGTCCTTATTGATTGTGAGCAGGTCAAGGACCCTGAAAACATGAAGAATAACCCAGAGCTCTGGTCTATTGATAGTGTAGTGGAATTACTGGGTGATGCCACTGCTCCCTGGTTGCAGTGCCAGCTCCAGGTCGACAGGGGGCGGAAGGTTGCCCGGATCGAGCTGGGCCGTGGCACTCAGGTTGAACCCTGGGGGGCTCGTGACCGGAGGTATGGACCAGAGGACCCCCAAGAGGTGGCTGGGGGGATGACGTGTCCACAACCCAGGGGCGGAGAGAGCTGGGACTGACTATATAAGCCGGACCCCTGAATGGGTCTGGCTGCGGTTGTATACTTGAAGACCCGAAGCCGCCACCTGAAGACCCGAAGCCATCACCCTAAAGAGGTGCCCGAAGACGGGACCCGGACCCCAGCCAGGGTCAGGTCGACGTCAGCCTCCCCAGTGCTAGGCGCGCGTTAGCCCAGAGGATATACCTCCGTAGAGTATCGGGTGGAAGGGGTCGTTACCCCTTCGTGTTAAGGTTACGTTATAATAAACGTGTTGCCTCGAAAGAAGTCTCGCTCTCCGTTCTACCAACTACAATAGTATCATAGACCTTGACAAGGTCAATAAAGCAGAGATATAGGTCCTATTGAGATTCCCTACACCTCTGCTGTAACAGGACAGAGAATATGGCATCTGCGCAGGACCGCCCCATTCTGAAACCACATTGGTGATCCACAAGCCATTTCTCAGTGTACCTGGCAAGATGGTGTTGAATATTCCTTGCCAGGACCTTTCCTGGAACACTGGGGAGTGAGTTGCCCCATTAGTTGTTACAATCGATGCCGTCCACTTTCCTCAAAAGGCATACCGTCAGGGCACCCTTCCAGTCCTGTAATTAAATAAGGTAGCCTGAACAAAATTGCCACCCTCCCTCAGAAGTTCTCTTGTGATGTCATCTCTGCTCAGCGTGTCTTCCTGGTCTCAGACGCTGGATCACTCTTCTTACTTCCTCAACAGATTGCACATCAGTCAACCACTCACTTGTGCCAATATTTCAGGCACAACAGGCCTGAAATATTGTGATGTCAACTGGGCTAAGTTCCTATTGCTCAATATCTCACAGGAATGCTCAGCAACTGCAGACCTGGTTGAATATCAGATCACCACCACTCTTTCCCTTAATAATAGGCATAGGTATGACACTGCAATTTACTTTTTAGATGGAATTATAGTGATTTGTGATCGCGAGCTGCTATGGCATTTCTCATTTCCTCGGTAGCCTCCGACCACCGCTCATCACACAGTGAGCGTTTGGACATTCCACGTGGTCAACCACAGCGGTTTCCTGCCGTTTCTGAATGAACCCCTAGGCCCTGAGTGGGGGCTCTGCCAAAAGGGGTTTGGCAGATGTTATAGGTGCCTGTCCCCCTGGGCCTCCTGCCCAAGCTTAACATTTTCTGGCGTTTTTGTTTGATGATTTAGTTGAAGTTAGAGTGGTTACCAGCCCCTTCGCACCTGCCCAGACACAATGTTGGCCACTGTGACAGCTGCGAGCGCCATTAGCAAGGGTCGGCAAAAATGCAATATTTCAAGGGCCGCAATGTATGTGAATAACGTCACGAGGCAGCGCTAAAAAGCCGCATGGGGCTCCGGAGCTGCAGGTTGCCAACCCCTGGCCATGAGGCTAACAGCCGATTAGTATCGGCCTTCCCCCGAATAGCATTGCTCACAGCACACCACACAAGTGCGGGTTTGTTTAGCTTACACACACACCTTGTCGTTCACACAGACAGCCATGCCAGCATGTGCTGCGGGTGCTCTCGCCCTTTGCTCCCGTTCTTCACATGGACCCCGCTTGTGTCGCTGCAGCGCAAGGTCCTGGCGCAGAGGGCGCACTCGGCACGCGCCAGCGAGGAGCGGCTGTGCCAGGTGGAGGCGGAGAGGGACGCTCTGGGCGCTCGGCTCCGGGAGGCCGAGTTGCAGACTGAGGCCCTGAGCTGCTCGGTAACGCACAGACGCCCGGGTCCATGGCACACCTCCCTCCTGTGCCACGATAAATGCTGAAACATTACTTGCAACTTACCTGATTGGGCGTATCAAGCATAATCACAATAACGATACGGAGGCGGTGCAGTTGGAGTGGCGCGTGTTGCCTTCACCCCTCCCTTCGACTGCGGGGTGGCAGCTGCTGCAGCAGGAGGAGGAGAGGCGCTTCCAGAGCACCATGGTGGAGGAGGAGAGGCAAGGGAACCGCGCTCGCGAGCAGCAGCTGGAGATGAGAGTGCAGGTGGTGCCCTTGGCTGCGTGCCTTCTTGCACCCAATTCAACAATGCAGACAGTCCTCGACTTACGAACACCCGACTTACCAACACCCGACTTACAAACACTTACGAACACCCGCACTTACGAACCAACTTCCATGAAATATTTTTTTTAAACCATTGACTTAAAAGGACAAACTCGCACTTGCAGACTAAACCGCGGAACTATTTTGTTCAGCGGAGCGATCCTCTGCGAGCTGTAATGAGTCAGCCTCGCGTTGGGAGTGGCAATCCACATTAACACAACGTCGATCAGCAGGCTGCACCATGAGCACCCTACACGATTAGAGCCCGACCGAAATTAGGTTTCGGTTTCGGCGCCGAAAGTTGGCAGATGGCCTCTTTCGGCATAGTTTCGGTTTCGGCCGAAAGTAAATTTGTAACTTTCGGTCTGGTTTCGGTTTCGGACTTTCGGTCGTCATTCATCAACCGAAGATCTATTTTTAGAATATAACGTGAGTGTTACATCTATCACTCTGCCTATCGGCCGGTCAGTCGGCGCTAGGCAATTCTATGCGATAGGCTGCAAACACACACACGTCAGCAGCAGCAGCTTGGGAGCGAGGTTACAGCCGCAACCATGGTCTGCTAATGTATATACGACTGGTCAACAGACGGCCGCCTGCATCTCCATCGGTGGGTGGAGTCTCTTTGGCGGGACGATAACAAAGTGCCTCTGTTGTCTGTTCCCAGCCGCCTGCCCGCCTTGGCTTATGTGTTGCGTTCGCTTCAGTCTACACGCTTGTTGATACCGAGATTCGAAGTCTGACAATTAGAGGCCGACCGAAAATCGGTTTCGGTTTCGGCGCCTGAAAGTTGGCAAATGGCCTCTTTCGGCATCGTTTCTGTTTCGGCCCAAGCCGAAACCAGAAATTCAGTTTTGGTCAGCCTCTATACACGATGCACCGTGAACACCCGACACACTGTACCATGAACACTTTACATGCTACGCATGAACACCCTACACGCTGCACCATGAACATCCTACACACTGCACCATAAACAGCCTACACGCTGCACCATAAACACCCTGCACGCTGCACCATAAACACCCTACATGCTGTACCATGAACACCCTACATGCAGTGTAGTGGAGTAGGAAGGTGTGCTGGGGAAACTGCGCAATTGTATTTATCACACGGACAGTGTGGGGTTTATCTGGGGTCAGCCTGAGGAGACGGCGGAAACAGTGGGGTCGTGTTAGGACTTGCCAGGTGAAGAGGCTGGGGTGATGAGGTAACGGTCGGGCCAATTAAGCCAGAAGGGCTGTGATTGGTTGGTGCTGTTGCTGGGGCCGAGGAGGCGTCGAGGTGTCTGGAAAAAGGCAGGTGGTTGAAGACGCGAGGCGTGCGGAGGCACGCGGACCAATTAATTAGCGATAATGAGAATGGGGATAAATTGGGGGGAGACAGAGAGAGAGGGGGAGATTGGAGTTGGGAGCTGTGCGGTGAAGACGTGGAGTTCGGAAACAGAGTTTAGAAGAGAGTTGGAGCATGGTGATAGCGAAGCCGAAGCAAGACGAAGCAGTTAGCAGTGGAGTGAGCATAGTGATAGCGAAGCTGAAGCAAGACGAAGCAGTTAGCAGTGGAGTGAGCATAGTGATAGCGAAGCTGAAGAAGACGGAGCAGTTAGCAGTGGAGAGAGCGTAGTAATAGAGGAGCTGGAGACGAGGTGTGCGGAGACAGAGACGTGAGATTGGGTTTCGCTGTGTGTGACGACGCTGTATAGCGGAGGAGCTGAGGAGGATAGCCAGCAGTGGAGAGAGCGTAGGAATAGAGTTGAAGACGTGTGTGCGGAGCAGAGCGACGTGATACTGGGAACCAAGGTGGTGAGCGAGACGGGCGAAGCACGGCGAGCGAGCTGCGGTGTCCAGGATACGGTGGAGTGTGGAGAACGTGTTAAACGATGAAAATAAAGAAGTGGTTTAAGAAAGACAAAAGTTCGTGTAAAGTTCAACCACTACACATGTACCACGAACACTCTGACCACAAAACGGGACTGAGAATCTTCAAAGTCGGACTATGAACCCACAAACCTAAACTAGCGACCCATAGACTGAAATTCGTGTGTACGGTACACGTGTGTGCTCTATCTAATTAATACGCTATATGTGTGCGTGTGTGAGTGTACAGGCCCTGCGGGACCTGCTGTTGGTGCAGGCCGTGGAGGTGGAGGCTGCCCGTGAGAGTCTCGCCCACTCCCCGCTCAGGTAAGCGGCGCTGTGATGAGTGCGGCTCCCCGAGGGTCAGCCCTCGCGTCCGCACGTGACGTCCATCGTGGCTCAACCCTGTCACAGTCTCTCGCCTCTGCTCTGCGTAGTGCATAGAACCAGGTCTTACTTCCTAACTAAACTATTTAAAAAAAATAGTTTAGCAGGTAAGGCCCCCTGAGCTAAATAGCGCTTATTCAGAAGCGACCTGGCCAGAGATGATAACTCATAGAAGTGGCTTATATCATCACGTGTGAAAATTTTCGCGAAATACTTGAAACGAATGTTTATAAAATGTGGAGGGAAAACCAGAAGAGAAATCCACGCGACCACGGGGAGAATATAAGAAACTCCAAATATACAGGTGTCAGGGCCATCATCGAACCCACGACCTCTTGCATACCAGGTGAGGGAGTTAACATCTCGCCACCATGGTGCCCTACAGTGCATTTAAGCGATAGACATTGTTTAACCATCAGGTACTCTATGTACTACACGTGATAGACACCATTAGCTACGCCAAGCCACGGTTTCTCTCGCCGCGCTACGGACAGCCAATCACCTGAGCACCCCCACACATGCTTGTGAATATTCTTGGTTCTTTCGGTAAAGTCACGTAGAAGGGAAACAATAAAATAATAAAAATATAAAACAATAAAATTATCATGACGTTTCTACTGCAACACAAGCAATCATTATCAGGTCTGCTTTGTGTTCACGAATGCGGTCCGAGACATGTCGTTTGGTTTTTCCAATGTAACTACTACCACAGAGGTAACTTAGTTTGTAGACGCCAGGGAACTGTATGTCCGGAATCACATCTTTTACAGACGCGACCAGATCACGGATTTTATGTAATGTGTTGAATCAGACCTGGATCTTGTGTTTATTCAAGATTTTGGAGATCTTTTTTGTGATCCCCGCAATGTAGGGTAAAGTGATGGTTTTGAAAGGCTCCTCAAGAGGGTCCTTCTTCATGGTTGGAGTGATAGCTTTGCGGATTGTGTAGTCGGAATAACCATTAGACAGGAGTTTTTCGCAAGCCATCTGGCTACCATGAGAGATTCGTTCATGAGGCTATCCACATATACAAACACAGAGACAATTTCTAACCGAGAAGATGGATTCTGGCTTAGCAATCATTGGAAGGGTGTGATAAACCATTTCGGGTCTTTATTGATTGATCACGCTTAAGGTGGCTTTCAGACCGCATCCATTATTTTTCGTCTCCCACCTCCTCTTTTCCGAACATAGATGGACTCGTCCATCTAAACAAACTGTCAAATCTCTCTCCGTGGTGCTAACGTTAAAAAAACGCCACTTTTTTAAATTTTCTTGTTGTGGTTTTGACACCTGATGATGGTTGCTTGTGTTGCAGTCGAAATGTCGTGAGAATTGTATTGTTTTATATTTTTATTATTTTATTGTTTCCCTTCTACGTGACTTTACCGAAAGAACCAAGAATATGAATCCCTGCAGTCACGAAAGCTTTAAATAAAAATGTATGCTTGTGAATGTTTAGGCATTCTTAACGCACACATCCATAATAGAGGTGTTTTTGGGTTAGATCATGTATGTATAAATGTGTCGTGAAAACCCGCCACCGCCAATTAGTAAGGTTTGTCATGTAAACAAAACATGCCAATTAGTTATTAGTTCAGCACACCGGTGTGTTGGAGAATAAACCGACAACATTTACAATTCGAGTACAACGTTTTTCTGGTAATTATAACCATCTTCATCAGGTGACAGATAGAATTGTGGAGAAATCCTCTTGTTTCGGTCTTAAATAGAGGGGGTAAGTGTGATGTCATCACTGTGAGATATTCAGGTGTGAAGACCAGAGGGGGGTTAATGTAGTCATATATTATAATTAATATCTATTATTAGTTGGGTTATTCACACATCTACAACCACCGGCACTGCCTGACCTCCCAGTGCCAGGGTGACCCAGGCTCTTCCTGCCTCTTCCAGGATCCTTGTGCCGGAGTTTGGGCTGAGCGTACCTACACGCGCCACCTCCGCCTCGGTGAGCTACTCCCGCTTCCGCCTCACGAGGGAGCACCCCTGTGGCCCCCCGCTCCAGGCCAGTGTCTCCACGGGAGGGCCCCGGACAGGGTGCCCCCGCGACGCTGCCAGCACCCCCGGTGAGGCTGCTCGCACCATCTGTGCCATCCGTGGAAGTAACAGAGGAGGGGTGGCGGTGGCACTGGTGGCCGTGCTGTTGCACGTGGCTGCCTGTAATCCGGTGCTATGGAGGCAGCAGCGAGGGTTGGTGGATCTCGACGGAACGTGTAAAACGCCTTTCTCATGGGTGTAGAGGTGCCATATACTAAACTATAACTAATTTTTGACTTAAAACTTTCGTGACTGCAGGAATTGATATTTTTTGGTTCTTTTGGTAAAGTCACGTAGATAGAAAAATAATAAAAATTAAGATAAAAAACCACAACGTTTCGATCGCAACACAAGCGGTCGTCATCAGGAAAAAGAGGGTTAGCCTCTCAAGGCAAGCTGTTTATAAAGGTTTAAAATTGGCGTAGGCTAAGTGTTAAAAAACGGTGACCCAGCAGCACGTAGGGTGGTGCTGGTGGTGGGTTTCTACCAATTAAAGGGCTGCCAGGTAATTATTGCACCTCGATTTCAGTAGCATGGGCGGGGTAGCTAATGTTAATGTAAGGGATTAAAAAACGATGACCCAGCAGCATGTAGGGTGGTGCTGCCAGGTAATTACATACTCACACTGGTGGCGGTGGAGGTTGCTGCTAGAGGTGATGGTAGTAGTGGGTAGTGATGGTGCTGGTGGTGGGCTTCCACCAATAAAGGGCAGCCAAGTTTAAAATGGAAAAATTACAGCCATGAAACATTACAGTTATGAATTAAACTGGCTGATAACGTCCTTCCAGTGATTGCTGAGTTTGTACCCATTTCTCAGTTGAAATTGTGTCTGTGTCTGTATATATGGATCGCTTCATGAACGAATCTTTGTTGATAGCTAGTGGGTTTGCAAAGTACCTTCGTCTTAGAGAAATGCATTTAATGTGAGCCCACCGCATTAAAACAATGATCAGCCACGCCAGAGGTATTTGTCCTACCGTGTTTCAGATCTGCCTTATGTTTACGAACACGGCCCAAGACATGTTTCTTATTTTCCCCAATGTAACTACTGCCGCAGACACAGCTTAGTTTGTAGACGCCTGGATATTGCATGTCAGGGATCTACTCCTTCACAGATGGGATCAGATCACAAATTTTATGTACTGTGTTAAATCGGACCTGGATCTTGTGTTTGTTCATGATTTTGGACATATTTTGGTTACCCCTGCTATGTATGGCAAGGTGATGGTTTTGATTTGATCATCAGATGGCTCCTTCCTCACGGTTGGGGTGATGGATTTGCAGATTGTATAGTCAGAATATCCTTTCACCTTGAGAGCTTGGTGTACGTGTCTGAGTTCACTGGTTAGGTGTTCATGGTCGGAGATACATTGAGCTCTATGGTGTAGAGTTTTGATTAGGGAAATATTCTGGGATAGATGGTGGTCGAATCAGGTTTTAGGTAGGCATAAGTATGGGTTGCTTTCCTGTAGACAGAATGGCTCATTGAGCCATCTGGTCTCTTTTCGATTAGAACATCCAAGAAGGGTAGCTTGCCATCAATTTCTAGCTCCATGATGAATTTGATGGCTGGGTGTATGGAATTGATGTGGTTGAGGAAGCCCACTACCAGGACCATCACTGCCCACTACTACCATCACCTCTAGCAGCAACCTCCACCGCAACCAGTGTGTAATTACCTGACAGCACTGCCCTACATGCTGCTGGATCACCGTTTTTCATCCCTTACATTAACATTAGCTACCCTGCCCATGCTACTGAAAACAAAGTGCAATAATTACCTAACAGCCCTTTAATTTGTCGAAACCCACCACCAGCACCACCCTACGTGCTGCTGGGTCACCTTTTTTTAACACTTAGGCTACGCCCATTTTAAACCTTTGTAATGAGCGACTTTCACAACACGTCGTGTAGAGGGTACTCTTCTTTATTCCACGTACGGCACGGCACAGCCCAACGTTATCGGCTTCCTCTCCAAGTACACACTTAGATATTACGTTCTACAGACTACACACACGGTCGATCACACAGCGGGTTCCACTTGTCCACTCCCTTCCTCGCCGCTGGCTGGCGACGTGCCGGGGAGGGCGGTGGAGCTCAGCCAGAGATCCGCCACATGGCCGAACGACGGAGAGAGATGACGGCGAGCAGCGACGTAGTCCGGACCCAAGACTTCACACACTAACCCCGAGTCCTCCTCAGCCTCTGCTTATATTGCCGCAGACGCGGCTAGGCTCCGCCTCCAGCCACGCCCTCTCGTAGCCGGTTCTCGAAGTTGCTCGGCCGGCCCTGCCCTTCACCTTTGGCCTAGGTACCTTCCCCTTTGGGGATTGGATAATGTTTATAATGGTACCTGTACCCGTGCTTCCCGTTTACCAACAGTAGATGTCACTATCTCATTACATCACCCCCCCCCCATAATAAAAAAGTAGCCGTCCCAGCTAATATTCACGTAACATGTACGAGCACATATGCGCACAATAATAGAGGTGTGACGTGTGTCTTAAAGAGCGGGACAACACGTGGAACAAATAGTCCGCAATACAAGGGAACACGACGAGAAGGGGATATATAAGGGGCACGACGGAGGAAGGGAACAAAACACAACAACCCTAGACATTCCGACATTCCCGAGCAACTCCAGAGCAAGGATCAACGGAACCGCAAGCATTTGGACCGAGTCCGCGATGCTGGTCCATCAATGGGGACGCCCTCGTGCTCCCACTCGGGTGGCGCCCCAACCACCGGGTCAAGGAATGCAACGGGAGGATTTTTCCCCAATCTGGCTGTCGCCTGATTATGCTAGTTGTAATTACTGGAAAAACGTCATACTCAAATTTTAAATGTTGTGGCTTTGCTCTCCAACACACCGGTGTGCTGTACGAGTAACGAATTAGCATATTCTGTTTACGTGACAAACCTTACTAATTGGCTGTCGGGTGGTGGCGGATTTAACGACACATTTATATTTTTATGCAATCTAAGCCCAAAATAAACCTGTATTATGCATATTTTATTATCTCTAATGTGAATGCTTCATTGCTTATTTACACTTTCAGTTGGCATTAAGTCCCCATATTTGGCAGCCCTAAAGAGTCTTTCTCACCAGCCACCCATTTCTTTTTTGAACCCAGGCAATGAGATTGCACGCAAAATCACGCAAATACAAATGCCTGGGTCGATTTTTGGTCCCAGTCTGTAACTGCCTCTGGACGCCGCCTGTGTTCCCCAATCAGACGCACATTCCGTGACCAGCCAATCATTGCGTGCAGGCTGATGCTCGGGTTTGATGGTAGTCTCGACGTGCAATGACCGGCGGTTTTCCTAATCGCTTGCATTTCAAATAAAGCAGCCGTCATGTTGCTGTTTGTCCATGGAGTAATTACTACGACAAACTGTTATTTATTTTACCAGGTAAGGCTCACTGAGCGATCTGGCCACAAATGATAGCTCAACGAAGTGGCTTATCATGTGGAAATGTATAGCAGCCAAATGCTCTAAACACATGTTTCTAAATGTGGAGAGGGAAACCGGAGGACCGAATTAAATCATTAATGCGGGTTGCCCTTCAGCGACTCTATGACTTGAGTTGACTTGAGTCGAGTAGCGGCCCTACAGTGGTAACTGATGTGGCTGGGTCCTCCCTTGTTCCCGTGCTGGGTGCAGGGTGGCCCAGCAAACGTGCGGCCACCAGGAGGCCCCTCACCATGCCTGCCCTGGCCGAGGCCCCGGCGGCCCCATGGGGCAGCCTCCTCCGCCGGGATGGTGACGCGACGCGAGGGGAGGGTGGCGGCGTGGAGAGCGGTGCTTCTGCTCCTGCTCACCCCAACTCCAAATTCCCGTGGAGGTAGCCGCTTCCACACTTCCTCGGGCACTGGTACTGCAGTGCTGAACATCGTCATTACCATCACTGGTACCACAGCGGGTTTTGGCTCGCCGTTGAACCAAGACGGCCACTGCATCGTGCACTTTCAGATGCGCTTCTGCGGCCGTGTGGAACGCTCTTCCTTCTAGTATTAGGAAGCCACTGGAGCTATGTAATTTTTAATCTAGATGGAAAACTCATTTTTTAAGAACTGCTTTTTGTATTTAGTTTGTTGTCCTTCCCCCGCACCTCCAATTTGCACGGTTGACTACGTACGGTGCGAAAGAAGTTCAACATACATACATACATACTGAACTTCGTCATCACCATTAACAGTACTGTTGTGAACACGATCACTACCACTGGTTACCACATTGTCAGGATCTAGCCAGATGCACCACAAACGTGTGTATGGTGTAAAAAAATATATAAATGTCATCTGTCACACAAAGAAGAGCTGTTGGCGAGCACTTATGAAGGCGGCACAGCACACGAGGGGGTGGGTGACCAACACCAAGCCTGGCCGCCTTTGTTTCGCCAGTGGCGATGTTTACACACCACACCTGGTACTTGAGGTAGAGTCAACCTAGGGAGGCCCAGGACCTTTTCAAACAATCGTCGCTGGTGTTGGCCGTGAGCGGGAATCGAACTCCAATCACTAGGTTCGTGCTAACTGCTACACTACCGATCCCCACACACTCGTATACAGAGACACCTCAAATTTTCACTTAAAAATACTGGGGAGGAAACGTGCATCTTTCAATATCTAGGATACAGCATTACTCTTTAAGGTGCATTAGCACCATTGTGGTGTCTTCAAAAATTACTCACACCGACACGTTGTAACAAGTCACCTGCTTACACTTTATTCACCTATTTTTGCTCCAGTTGTAGGCACTCCTATAACTATCTATACGGTCACTTATGTTTAACCTCTCCCCACTCTTATCTACCTTTCACCTCCCTTATCCTGCACTCAGTAGTTCTGCTCTCAGCGACTCCGCACACAGCATCCTCGCACACAACGTCTCCGCACACAGCGTCTTCGCACTCAGTGACACTACATCTCCACTGCTGCCCTCACCTACGCTCCCTCAGACCCGCTCACCCGTCTGTCCCAGGCAGAGGGATCAGCCAACACCCCTCCGGCGACGGCGTGAGGGTTGAGATCCCATTGACGGCTGGAGCGGCAGCGGCAAGATGTCTTCACACTTGGTCCCCGGCAACAACTCTTTCTTCGCTCATGCACGCACCCTTATATCCCTCTGCTAATTATCCGACACCTCTCGTGCGTCTCTTTAGGCTCTCGCCAGGCTGGCGCCTATTGGCCCATCAATCAACTCTTATCAATCAACCCTTTGAGAGCGAGCGAGCATGCGTGACAGCTTGCGTGTGTGCATGTCCCCAGCTGGCTGCAGGTCGTGGAGGTCGGTCCGAGCGGCCGCTTCGTGCAGGTGCTCAACTCAAGCGCGCGGCACAGCGAGGAGCTGGGCGGGTGCCTCCTGCAGCAGCTCCAAACAGGGGGGGGAGGCGGCTGCCAGCCGCGAGGGACCCCCATCGCCATCTATCGCTTCCCCCATGAGCTGCGCCTGCCGCCCGGCGTGGCCATCACGGTGAGGCGCGGCGCTCGCTCGGACAGGCGGCGACCCGCGGTCCAGCGCTGGTGGATCAATCTCCGAATTCCTGACTCAGTGCAGCCAGAGTGGTCATGATGTTAAATACCTTGCCTGGTATGCAGGAGGTCATGACTTCTCTCCTCTGGCCCTGATGCCTGTGTATTTAGAGTTTGCATGTTTTTTTCTGTGGTCGTGTCCTCCGGTTTTTCCCTCCACATTTAGAATCAATATACGTGTAGAATATTTGGTTGATATAAATTTCCACATGATAAGTCACTTTATTGAGCTATAATCTGTGGCCAGGTCGCTTCTGAAAAAGAGCTATACAGCTCAGTGGGCCTTACCTGGTAAAATAAAATAATTTAGTTGATATGTATGGGATTTCTCCGGGTATTCCGGATTCCCCCCATGTGCAAAGCAGTCATTACAATTGGCCAAACATCCCCACCCCAAACTGAACTCATCCTTACGGTAATCCCTAACCCTAGTCAATCCCTAACCCTTGAGTGAGGCACAGGCAGGATATGGTCAAGAAAAGGTGGAGACTGACAGCCCCTGAATGTGTCTCGTGGTGTCATGATGTGGCCTCGCGCAGCCTCTCCAATCCTGCACACGGAGCTCTCTGTAGTTCCCTCCATTACCCTTGTCCCGAGGAGCACTGGGTCCAGAGCGGAAACTTGTGGGAACCCCAGAGCCTGTATAAGGGCCGTTTGTGGCAACAACCAGTGGCGTAAGACTTCCAGAATTATCAGCCGTGATGTAATTCATGAAGGCGAATGATTTGTGTTCATGAAATGTTTCTGTACTGCACGACTTCACTGCTGTCATTGCTCAGTGCACATGCATGCAAACACACGCGCAGTGTTCCCTGAATGCTGCGCATGTCAATGATTCGAAGGTCGCCACTAAGGTTCCAAATGACCACTGCGATGGCTCCTGTTCCTGGTGCAATGTGCGAACGTCGGCACTTGTGACACGGGGGTTTCTGGGCAGCGTGGTGCGGACACACACAGGTGTGGTGTGTCAGCCTCAACGGACACGCGAGCGTGTGTGTGTGTACGTGTGTGTGGAGCTGATCTGCCCTATGACCATCGACTAGTCATCTGTAAGATGCGCCTGCCATTCTTCCACTCCGGTGGTGGGTGTACACCCAGGACCCCATTCCAACCTAAAGTGGCCTGGTCTCAGTTATCTGATGAAAGTTGCAAGCGAGAATTTCATCATCGCTTGCGGCTGGGGTTGGCATCGTCCCCCACTCCTCCTGATGTCGAGGGTAAATGGGCGAGGTTTAGGACTGTGATTCATGCAGCTGCAATGGCTGCTTTGGGTATGCAGTCCAGACCTCCCCAGAGACCCTGGCTGACAGAGGAGGTGTTCAGGATGGTTGAGAAAAAGCGACAGGCCCACTGTCATCGGCTACAGAATCCCACGTCAGAGAATGAGGAGGCTTACCACAACCTTCGCTCGGAGGTTCGGAGAGCCGTGAGGCGCTGCAAGGATGGGTGGTGGTCGCGAGTTGCTGAGGAGATGGAGTCTGCTTCAGTGGCCCGCGATCACAAATCTCTATTTAACTCCATCAAAAAAGTAACCTGCAGCGCCACACCTATTACCATCATTAGGGGAAAGAACGGTGATCCAATCTCCGACCCCCAGGAACAGGTTTGCAGATTTGCTGAGCATTTCTGTGAGGTCCTGGGGGAGGGAAATCCCTCAGCCAGGAAAACATCATGGCACAAAGTGAGGATGACCCGGCTGAGGCTGCGGTGCCTCAAATATTGGAAGAAGTCACCCCCTGTGAGTGGCTGGCTGAAGTGCCATCTGTTGAGGAAGTACTGAAGGCGATCCGGAGTCTGAGACCAGGAAAGGCAGCGGGCAGAGATGATCTCCCAAGCGAAATGCTGAGGGAGGGTGGCGTTTGTGCACAGACTGCCCTATATGACATCATAACAACAGTCTGGACCACTGGACGGGTTCCGCAGGATTGGAAGGATGCCCTGGTGGTCCCCCTCTTTAAGAAGGGGGACCGCACAGACTGTAACAACTACAGGGGCATCTCACTCCTCAGTGTGCCGGGAAAGGTCCTGGCAAGGGTTATTCAACATCGCCTTGCCAGGTACGCTGGGGAGAGGCTTGCTGAGCCCCAATGCGGTTTCAGGAAAGGGCGTCCTGCACAGATGCCATATTTTCTGTCCGTCTGCTACAGCAGAGGTGTAGGGAATTCCAGCAAGACCTACATCTCTGCTTTATTGACCTGGTCGAGGCCTATGATACCATCAGTAGACCTGGGCACTGGGTTGTTCTTCGTGCTTTTGGAGTACCTGATCCTCTGCTCACGATCATTAAGGACCTTTATGATGGTGAGCTGGCCCGGGTAAATCTACGTGGCCGGGAGTCAGAGCCATTCCCTGTACACCTTGGGGTGCGACAGGGATGTCCTCTGGCTCCCACATTATTTAACATCTATTTTGACCACGTAGTTCGTGAAGCCTTCATATGGTACAGATATGATGGGAGCCTGATCGATGCCCGGGTGCAGTCAAAGGATGGCTCCCTATTGCTCAACCACGTTATGTATGCCGATGATTTGGTAATAGCTGCTCATTCAGAGGAGGATTTGGAGACGCTGCTACTGAGACTGGAGCGTGCCACTAAGAGATGGGGCCTGTTGTATATGTAGGTTATGAAAATTTGATGGAAATAATAAAAATTAAATGAAATTAGAAATTTGCATAATTTATCCAAAATTATGTTTATGTGGGCGATTATGTGCATATATTATGCTAATTCGAGAGATAATCGTATTAATTTGTGCGAGTGGGCGTGGTTATGATAATGCAGGTCGTTATGATCATCAGGTCCAGTCTCGGTGACGAAGGTTGGTTATTAATTGGAATAACGCAATTAATCGTATGCAGTTATACAGGCGTAGCGAGCGTGAATGAGAGAGAGTCAACTCGACTTGTTATTTAATTCCGTATTATCAATAAGGATACGATTATCTTCGATTTAACTCTCATTGATTATGTGCTGGATTAGTCATTAGTGTGCTTATGATAGGTCCCCAAGATTCAGAACAATTCTATGCTCTTTCGAGCGTATGCATTTTTTTTAATCACGTGCTGTGGGGAGAGACAAAGGTGGCCGGGATCTTTCTATCTCTCTATACCTTGAGTTAACATCGCTGAAATATCATTTCGATTTTATATTCAACCAGTTTGATCCACCCCATTACGTTGGCTCTTATTCAGTTTTATTAATTTTCGTCATTCTGTCTGTCTTATCATATAAATGTATTGCGATTTATTTTAACTTAAAAACTTGTTTGCCAGGCTTGCTAATTACTTGTTTGCTGGCTGTGGTGTGTGGGGTGGGGTGTGTTTTCTCATTAACCGTCTGGCTCGCTCCAGATGGCCCCTTGTGATAAGGTGTGGTTCCTGCGTCTCCGAGCTGCGAGAGAGACAAAGGTGGTCGGGGTTGCTTGGGATATTGTTTAAACTCTTTCGTAAGTTTGCCCGTTCGCCACATTCCTTGTCGATAACCTTTGATGTGACTCGGTATTTCTGTCCCTAAGCTTGTGATTTACAGTAAAAGTATTAAAGGTGAAAATCATTTGATATCGAATTAATAATAGGATAATGATTCGCTGACGTATCTGGTGGCCTGGTCTTAATTTGAGTGATCGTGAGGATCGCTAATTTTAGCTTATTCCGGTTATTGCATTTCAAATTTCAACCGTTGTTTTAATGGCAAATAAGGGAAAAAATGGTTTAACTCGTGGGCGTCTTCACGTCTCTTGGCAGAACTGACCTCTGAGAGACCCCCCCCCCCTTCCTTAGGGCACATCAAACTCTTGTTCATCTGGAGATCTTCGCAGATAGCTGTTACATCCTCGCCTTGAGAGTCTAAATATTTATTTATTTATTTATGGCCTGTTTATGATCGACATCTGGTTTTCTGTGCTGGCTTACGTGTTTTATTAATTATTTATCTTTTGCCACTAAAAAAATCTATATATCGGAAAATATTCTTATGGATATCAATTATGGAAAAAGGGCCGTATACAACAGGCCTTACCATCAGCCCCACCAAAACTAAGCACCTGTCTGGGTATTTTGTACCATCGGACACTGCACCCCCACAACTCCCAATCGGTGATGGGGCAGTTGTGGAGAGTTTCCCATACCTGGGCAGTGTGCTTATGACCGGCTCCAGTTTAACAGCAGAGGTCTCACTCCGAATCAATTGAGCGGCAATATCTTTTCATCGGTTGCGTAACGCTGTGTGGAAGCTACCTGGTCTGTCGCTCCGCACTAAGCTTCAGGTCTTCTCGGCCACGGTCATTCCCTCCCTTCTCTACGCTTGCGAAACGTGGACCCCCCAAATGGAACATCTTCGCCGGTTAGAAACATTTAGGCTAGCCTGCCTACGATCCATCCTGGGTTTAACCAGGCTGGATTGTGTGAGGAGCTCACAAATCTTTGAAAGATCTGGGCAAGGTCCCATCGATGAGCTCCTCCGGCAGGCAAGGCTGCATTGGCTGGGTCATGTAGCCCGCATGCCCAGCCACCGCATGCCGAAACAGCTTTTGTTCGGCCGGATTGAGGGGGCTAAACGGGCGCGGCACGGGCTAGAGAAGAGATGGAGTGATGTGGTACAGGAGGACGTGGAGCTGAGTGGACTTGCCGATGACTGGTACCAGCGGTGTCAAGATCGGCCTCTGTGGAGGAGGCTCGTGAAGGACGCTACTGGGCAGTTGGAGGTAGTCGCCCTCCAACAACAACGGAGGGCGGAGGAGCAACGCTCACAACAACGAGCGGAGCGCCAGGTGGCTAAAGCACAGCAGGTTGGCACAGTAGGGGGCACAGGTGGTGCATCAGCCAGTCATCTCAGTCATCTTAGTCAGTCGACCCGTGGCACTTGGGTCTGCCCAGTGACCTGCCCGCGGGCGTTCGACACCTCACGTGGCCTCAAGGTGCACATGGCCTGGCACAAGCATCGTGGTGATGTCACCGCCACTTAGTGGCGAATGGCGGTTGTTGTTGTTGTGTGTACGTGTGTGTGTGTGCGTGTGTGTACGTGTGTGTGGTACAAGCGTCGTGGTGACGTCACCGCCATTTAGTGGCGAATGGCGGTTGTTGTTGTGTGTGTACGCTCGCTTTTGTGGGGAATGTGGGCGCAGTGGTTTGTGCACTGTGCTACGAACCTGGCAACCCGAGTTCGATTCCCGCTCATGACCATCAACAGTGGTGAATATTTGAACCAGTCCTGGGTGTCCCCTAGGTCGATACTGTCTTCAATGAGTACCTGATGCAGCGTGTCAGCATCAGCACTGGGGAGGCAAAGGTGGCCAGGCATGATGCTGGCCACCCACCCCCTTATACACCGTGCCAGCCTTCATAGGTGCTACTCGAAAACAGAACTTGCCCCCACGTGCTGCTCGAGGCTACGTGGGGACTGTTTGTCTCCCGTGTGTGTGCAGGTGTGGGCAGGGGCCAGCGGGGTCAGTGCCTGCCCCCCCACGGATTTGTTGTGGGCAGAATGGCCGCGGTTTAAGACGGGCTCGCACATCGCCACTGCGCTCTGCCGACCAAATGGACAGGTGCCCTTGCTCTCCCATGACATTGTCGATGTCTCGCACCAGCTCGCCTGCACTGGCACATCAAATGCTTCGTCTCCACGACGCATTCAAAGTCCTTCCCATGCAACTCCTGTGCCAGAGTCCGCATTTGGAGCGTGTTTTTCAAAGCCGTGATGTCACATGCCAGCTGGAACGGGGCTACGCCCGAGCATCGATTTGGCAATTCAACTTCCAGTTAGGCAAATTCACCCCGGTGCTGTATCCAACTACGATCCACATGAACACTGCCCACACTGAGATGGACTTGTGAGAGAGGCACGCTTTTGGGCCAATCTTGTAATGAAAACAACATTTTAAAATCTCTGTCACCAGCTCCTGTCAGACATGCTGGAGGGGATGACAAAAATATCGGTCTCCCGGTTGCATTGCCCGCGATGGTTCGTATGGCGTGCAGAGCCCGTAACGGTATGCAGGCACAAGCCAATGGCTCTTGCTTCTAACACCAGAATCAAGGTTCATGCATTGTGAAGTATTTCCACTTTAAGGCAATAATATAAGTTCCATAAACTGTCAAATTAAATCGAGTACTGTACAAAAACACTTTATAAACTCTTTATCCACTGTCTCCATAGATTGTGGGTGACTCTCTGGTCATAACACAAACACCTACATGGATACAGCTTTTCTGTACTCTGCTGTACTTTGCTGTACTTGAGGTCCACGATGTTTGCAGATGGCTCTTTCTGGTAGTGGATGGCTCTTTACGATTGTGGATGACTCCTTCTGGTTGTGGATGGCTTCCTCTGGCTCTTTCTTAAAAGGCCAGCTGATACAGAAGCTCTGATTAATGGGTCATATGTCGCTGGTGAGGCCGTTTGAGATTGAGACCAGTCCCATTAAAATTTTTGACCCAGCGAACCATTTGGTGAACCGTTTTTAGAACCATTTCGTTTATGGCCTTACATTTAATTTTAACAATAAAAACAGTGCCTTCTTGTCTATTACTTATCTATGTTGACTGTCTTGAGGTTCCAGGTCTGTGGTTTGGTTGCCTCTCTGCACAGTTGCCAGTCGGTATGTGCCTGTAGAAGCAGGAAACCAGAGATGAGCAACTAGAAAGTTGCTCATTTCTGGTTTCCTGCCTGCATGATTGCCTGCGACTCCATCCTCAGCTCATCACGTGGCACTGTGCCCAGCGTCGCCCAGCCAGCTGTGTGGAGGGCACGAGCCCAAGAGGACTGGTTCCTTCTACACAGGAGGCTCCTGCCGCACAGATTCTCGGTGTGGATGCCATTGGCAGCGAGAAGCAGAGAGACGAACCACGCTCCACGGAGGCGGCTCGGAGGTGAAAGGAGCACAAGCATACGAGGCTAGGCTGCAGAGTGGTGCAGTCGCAACAATCATGCCTCACGGCAAGAAGGACCTGGGTTAGATTCCTGGATCGGGCACAATTCTGCGTGGAGTTTGTACATTATCCCCTTGTTCAGCATGGGTTTCTTCTGGCTGTCCTCCTTTAGCTAAAAAAGACACTGCAATGCTGAAAAATTGCCTGCAAATTACTCAATTGGGAGTATGCATAACATCATCGGCCCTACTGCAAAAACTTGACAGGACCCTACTGAAATGTGTATCGAGACGGAAGCGTGGCTTTCCTGGGTAAGCAAGCGTTCATAAGTGATTTATTGGTGTAAAAAATATGATGTGCAGGTGTCTCGAATAAACTGTGATGCCACAGTGGCACATGTGCTCAGCTTGCTATACAGCAAAGCCACATGGAGTGGAGAAGGTTCAATTGTCAGATTCCATGTGTTTGGGGAATGCATATGAATGCATAACTTGCAAATATAACTGAAAATTGCATGGTTACAGGACATCCTTAGTTTTAACCGAATCCAATGTCCCTGAAAATCCTGCGATTCTCTGAACATATTATTTAGATTATTGATGGATCAACCGATATGATCGTGGTGTATGTGCATGTGAAATACCAGACAAAATATCTCAGGTAAGGAATACTTTTTTTACCAAACAATGCAAGATATACACGAGGACTGGACTCTCATGGGTGTGTTGAATCCAATAATAAAATCACCCCAATAACTGACCGGCGCATCTTTATAGCTCTTGCAAGTAATTATTGAGTGTTCCTCAACTGACCCTTAACTTCGTTTTTTAACCCACACCAATTTACCCTTTGAAATTCCCAGGTTTCTGCCCTTCAAATCCCCTGGCCAATCAGCAGAGCTGTCTCTAGGGGTACACGGCGAATCGGGGCGACCGCCCAGGGCCCTGTGCATTGGGGGGCCCCGCTCTTTGCCATCACAGTGTCAAATGTAAAACTTGGTGTTTAGCTTGAAGGTGTCGGGTAGACCACACGCTAGGATTTGCCCCACACGCCGCTCTGGACGGCCCTGCTAATCATATTCGATTCCAGCTGGACACCTCATGTAACCTATTTGTGTTTTTTCAATGCCAGCCCAGGACATCCTAACTTTTGGAGCTGCCTTCTGACCATAGCCAGGAACATGGAATTAAACCAACAGCTGCCTGTTCCTCGATAGTTCTGCAGTGTTTACAACTAGTGCTGTTAAGAAGTATATCCACCTTCATCACAGGAGAATATTACACCCATAATAATAATAATAGGGTCAGCCTTTCAGAAAACCTTACACATGTGTAGTGATACACTCAGAGACACTAGGAATAGGAAGCACTCTTTATTATAGCCTTCACAGGGTACAAGGGGTAACTACTCTTTCAGTCAGGACAGCTAACAGACTGCCTGACAACGCTGAGAAGGTGAAGACGGTGATGAAGACTCCAGCAGTCCGACGGGATTCCACTCCAAGCAACAGCCCCGTACCTTCGCTCGGGGTCCCCTTTTATCCTCCTGGCGTGGCCTCGCTCCGCCCCCGGCCACGCCCCCGTTCTGGAACCTCTCTATCACCTTTGCCCTACATCCCTCTCTGCTTATCATGTGACCTGCTGACAGATAGGGCTTCTGCAACCGCAGATCCCTTTCTCTGCCAGCAACCAGCGCTATGCTCCATAGTGATCCATTTCATATTCTTAGTTCTTTCGGTAAAGTCACGTTGAAGGGAAACAATAATTTTCGATTTAAAGCTTTCGTGACTGCAATGATTCATCTTCTTTGGTTCTTTCGGTAAAGTCACGTAGAATGAGAATAAAATAATAAATTGATAAAATAAAATAACAATAATATTCTCACGACGTTTCGGCCACAACACAAGCGGCCTTCATCAGGTGAAGGGACGAGACTGTCTGGTAGGACAGCGCTGGAGTGAAAGAGCCACGTTCAGATCACGGCCTTTAAGCTGTGTGAGAGGAACAAAGCGCCTTGACAAAGGAATTAGCATATAATTTAGCATTGAAATGGCTGAATGATTAGCTTGTGACTGGTCACAGAAATAGCTATGTTAAAAGTTAAAGCATACACATCCGCAGAGGCACCCCTTGTTAAAGGAATTAGCATAGAATTTAGCATTGAAATAGCTCAGTTAAAGCATACACATCCGCAGAGGCACCCCTTGACAATGGAATTAGCATAGAATTTAGCATTGAAATAGCTGAGTGATTAGCTTGTAACTGCTCACAGAAATAACTACGTTAAAGTCAGAGCATACACATTCACCGAGGCACTTAGTACAAATCAAACAGGAGAATTTAGCATTGAAATAACTAGGCGAATTTAGCATTGAAATAACTGAGTGATTAGCTAGTGACTGGTCACAGAAATGACTATGTTGAAGTCAAGGCCTACACATCTGAGCTATTCACAGTACTATATAGTGAACCAATAAAAAACTAAAATATAAATTACCTTAATGTTATCAATAAACTCTATATTCTGATTATATTGGAGAATATAGAGTTTATTGATAACATTAAGGTAATTTATATTACATTTATAATACATGTTTAGACATTTCACTCTTTATGTACGAAATGTTATCATTGCATCACGCAAGGCCCTTTGTCAGATGCTGTGCATGGTGCACCAAAGACTTGACTGAACCCTTCTCTGCAAGGAAGCTCCCAGCTCTCTCCTGAAGAGTAGACAAGTTTTAGTGACATGGGCTCTGGACGTCAGTTTTTAAGCAAAATGTGTATGACTAATATACGTAAATTTGAGCATTACATTGCAGCTTTCATCAATTAAACATGCAAAATATTCTGTAAGATTGGCCAAACATGCCAGTGCAGGGGTCTCCTGAAAAAAAAGGGGCAACGACAAGTGAGGCTCTATTGGACAAATGAACTTCGTTATTTCTGTGTAATTATTAGGTTCCGACATGCCAAACAGTGTCTCTTGATCTCTCCCTCCGTCTCCACCCCCAGGGCTGCCCCAAGATCTGCGAGGGCGACCACAGCAACTATGGCTGTTCCTCCACTTCGGGCACAAACGCCGCAGGGCCGACACTAGCCACAGACTCCCACTCCTCACTTTAGCATCCAGTGCCCACACACGTTGTAATGCACAAATGTGATTTTCCTAGAATATTTAAGCTGGCGATTCTGAAAATTGGGGTATTGTTTTTGCAAGGCTTTTTGGGACAGCACAGCACAACTGTCCTTTAATGCTATTTTGTTTAACCAGGTGAACACTCAAAATACCAGGATAGTCTAATTCGGAAGTGACAAAATCAAAGCAAACAAAATGAAGTACAGCAAGGAAGAAAACAATTCACAAACACATCTTTGCCAAATAGTAAACTCTCTACAGCGCAAGTCCACTCAATAATATTAACCCGAGACTAATCATTGTACAGTGAGGTTTAAACTTGCTTATGCATTTGTTGACGGGGTAAAATGGTATATCCACAAGCAAGAGAACTATATGCTTGACAACCGCATTTGCGTACAAATCGAAATATAAAGCAAGCATTGCAAGACTGTTATCTCACTTTAATTCATTTTATAAAAAACTGACAAACTCTAGTGACTGCATACTCTTGAAGGAGTATGTTGCGACCAATAGAATAAGGGGTAAGCACGAGCATTTGGGATAATGAACAGGTAATGCAAATTAGGGGTGGAGGTGCATGGGAATTAGAAGTGCGCACAGAATGAAGAAAGGTGATTTCTGAATGAACTGCCTCTCCTGGACATCTATGAAAAAGAGCTTTAGAGCTCATAGTATTCCTCCAGTATAAATATTCTGATTGTGGGATGGCATAGGTAGAAGCATGGAGGTATTTTGTGACTCCAGAAAAAGGTGGCAGGTAGGGATGAACAATAGGGGCAGGTAATTGGGAGGGAGATATGAACTACCTTGCCTGGTATACAGGAGATCGTGGGTTCGATCCAGACCCTGACGCCTGTATATTCGCACCTCGGATTAGCACAATTGGCTACGTACGGTGCGGAAGAAGTTCAACATAAGGTACAGTTGGGGAGGCTCTGTGTTTTTGAATGGGAATGCGTAGAGTCAAGCTGCCTGTGGAAGGCCAGCGAGGGCAGCGTTTTGCTGGCAGACGTGAAGTCGTAGCACGCACACATCATGCACACATCATGCACATGGGACCCATTGTACTATGTTCTTATTTGTGACAAGTTGGAATGCACCTTTGATAATAAAAGTAACGTAGAGATTTATTCTGCTGGTCAGTGTTTACTGCACTTAAGTAAAATTACCCTTGTTTGATCTTGTGTTCAACACTGGCGCGGTCACAAACATCGCCTTGCTAGTTCAGTCAGGTAGTTCCACCTCATTACGGACCGGACGATCATAGTCACCACCACAGAACATGCTGGTGAAAAATAAAACCAACAATCTCACTAAATACATCCATTTCTGAGTGTGAATTTTTACATTGATGTATGCTATTAACACTGAGATAAATAACCATGTTGGTTTTCAATAGAACAATAACTATTGATCTGTGTGTCTAAGCATCTTTATTATCTTATTAAAAACGTCCATGTGGTACCCGGGCTCCCCCGGGGAAGGTAATGATCCAACCAGTGGACTGAGTTTTGAGCTCGGTCTCTCTACGGACCGCCACCTGCAGCTCTGATGTTGTGCAATCCTCCATTTTCCACAATGGCACTCCGAGTTCTACAACGTTGAGGATCTGTCAGCAGAACTGCTGCTTAATCAGCAATTTCCAACATACTCTTTGGTTCTATTCGGTAAAGTCACGTAGGTAAAAAATAAAACAACAAAAATCACGACGTTTCGGCCACAACACAAGTGGCCTTCATCAGGTGAAGGGGCCAGACTGTCTAGAGGACAGCGCTGGAGTGAACACAGCCAAGCTCAGACCGCGACCTTTACACAGCTTAAAGGCCGCGGGTCTGAGCTTGGTTGTGTTCACTCCAGCGCTGTCCTCTAGACAGTCTGGCCCCTTCACCTGATGAAGGCCACTTGTGTTGTGGCCGAAACGTCGTTATTTTTGTTTTATTTTTTACCTACGTGACTTTACCGAATAGAACCAAAGAGTATGGATCCTTGCAGTCACGAAAGCTTTAAATCTAGAATTTCCAACATGCAATCAACAATATCTACAAGAAACCCACGTAAAAACTGGGAACTCCAGCCACTACCACATCGGCAGCTTTGACTTGCTTTGCTATGTCCCTCATGGCAAGCAGGGTTTTGCCACATGTATGTGTAAATATGTTGAACTTCTTTCGCACCATTTGAAACATATGCATTTGTGGCGCCGATGATGGCAGCCTCGGCCGGTTGGTGCACCCTGTTTTGTCCAGTTTTGTCTTGTTTTACTTGATCACCTGTACTGGTGAAAGAGGCCTACTGTTCAGCTCACCCGTGCTGGTGAGAGGGGCCTGCTGTTCAGCACAAACATGTTTGTGAGAGGGGCCTGCTGTTCAGCACACCCGTGCTGGTGAGAGAGGCCTCCTGTTCAGCTCACCCGTGCTGGTGAGAGGGGCCTGCTGATCAGCACAAACATGTTTGTGAGAGGGGCCTCCTGTTCAGCACACCTGTGCTGGTGAGAGGGGCCTACTGTTCATCACACCAGTGCTGGTGAGAGAGGCCTGCTGTTCAGCACACCAGTGCTGGTGAGAGAGGCCTGCTGTTCAGCACACCTGTGCTGGTGAGAGGGGCCTACTGTTCATCACACCAGTGCTAGTGAGAGAGGCCTGCTGTTCAGCACAAACGTGTTTGTGAGAGGGGCCTGCTGTTCAGCACACCCGTGCTGGTGAGAGAGGCCTGCTGTTCAGCACATCCGTGCTGGTGAGAAGATGGAGCCGATGATGGTAGCCTCAGCCGGTCGGTGCGCCCTGTTTTGTCTTGTTTTGTCTGTTAATTCAGTGTTTTGCCAAGATTTTCAGAGTTCCCTAACAAGAGACGAACTTTTAAACATCAGGGAAACAACTCCTGTGAATTTATTTCCCACTTTGCTGCTTCCAGCGGCAGAATTAGTGGGCATTCTAGTCAAAGCCGCACTAGGCTTTGCTCAAGCAGCAAAACGCCGCCCAAGGGGTAAACGGTCGGGGGCTCTAGTACAGCTATGCAGACACGGGGTCCGAACAGTGCTTCCAAGCTTTTTCCTCTCCAACGTACGTTCACTGTGCAACAAAATGGACGAACTTCAGCTACTGATGGTGAAAAACAGAGACTTTCTTTCATCTTCTGTTTTGTGTTCTTTCACGGAGACATGGCTGTGTGATTTGATTCCGGACACTGCGCTACAACTGGCAGGATTCCATCTTGTAAGATCGGATCGTGACATAGCACTCTCCAGCAAGACGAAAGGCAGTGGTATTTGCTTTTACATTAACAGTGGCTGGTGTGTAGATGTCATAGTGATTCTGCAACATTGTTCTCCGCTTCTTGAATCATTTTTTATAAACTGTAAACCTTTCTACTCGCCTCGCGAGTTCGCTTCGCTCATTTTGGTCGGAGTTTACTTGCCGCCGGGTCCTCAGGTTAAAGAGGCCCAACGCATGCTCGCCAACCAGATTCTGAGTGTGGAGCGAGCAAATCCAGATTCGCTGGTTATCGTACTTGGCGACTTTAACAAAGGTAATCTCAGCCACGAACTCCCCAAATACATACAATTCACTAAATGCCCTACCAGAGAAGGGAACACTCTGGATCACTGCTACACTACAGTCAGTAGAGCCTACCACGCCATCCCCCGAGCAGCACTGAGACACTGACCATGCCATGGTCCACCTGATTCCTGCATACAGGTAGAAACTAACGCTCTGTAAACCTGCCGTGAGGACATCTAAACAGTGGACCAGTGAGACTGTGGAGGATTTGCGGGCGTGCTTGGACTGTACTGACTGGGATATGTTCACGACTGCTACCAATAGCCTGGATGAACTCACAGAGACTGTGACGTCGTACATCAACTTCTGTGAGGACTGCTGTATTCCAACACGTACCAGGGTGAACTTCAACAACAACAAGCCCTGGTTCTCAGCAAAACTCAGAAGGTTGAGGTTGGAGAAGGAGGAAGCGTTTAGGAGTGGGGATAGAGACAGATTCAAGGAGTCGAAGAACAGGTTTAGCAAGGCAGTGAGAGAGGCTAAACGACTGTACTCAGAGAGACTAAAACACCAGATCTCTGCTAACGACTCTGCTTCTGTATGGAGAGGGCTCAGGCAGATCACCAACTACAAGCCCAGAGCCCCCTACACCACTAACGACTCCCACCTGGCGAACGACCTGAATGAGTTCTACTGCAGATTTGAAAGACAATTAGACTGTCCTGAACTACCCCTTCCCACCCAAGAGGCCCCATCCCCCACCCCTACTACAGAGACGACTCTCTCCTTTCAGGAGGGAGAAGTTAACAGACTTTTCAAGAGGCAGAACCCACGCAAAGCAGCTGGGCCAGACTCCCTCAGGCACTGTGCTGACCAGCTGTCTCCGGTGTTCACCAACATCTTTAACACCTCCCTGGAGACATGCCATGTACCAGCCTGTCTCAAGTCCTCTACCATCATCTCTGTGCCCAAAAAGCTAAGGCCAACAGGACTAAATTATTATAGACCGGTCGCCCTTACCTCTGTGGTAATGAAGTCTTTTGAGCGCCTGGTCCTGGAACACCTCAAAGCCATCACATACCCTCTCCTGGATCCCCTTCAGTTTTGCCTACAGAGCCAACAGGTGCAGTTAACATGGCCCTCCACTTCACCGTACAGCATTTGGACTCCCCAGCATCCTACGTCAGGATCCTGTTTGTGAACTTCAGCTCTGCCTTCAACAACATCATCCCTGCCCTGCTTCAGGACAAGCTCTTCCAGCTGAACGTGCCCGACTCCACCTGCAGGTGAATCACAGACTTCCTGTCTGACAGGAAGCAGTGCGTTAAGCTGGGAACACAAGTCTCTGACTCCAGGTCCATTAGCACCGGAACTCCTCAGGGCTGCGTCCTTTCCCCACTGCTCTTCTCCCTGTACACCAACAGCTGCACCTCCAATCATATGTCCGTCAAACTCTTGAAGTTTGCGGATGACACCACCCTCATTGGGCTGATCTCTGGTGGGGATGAGTCTGACTATAGGTGGGAAGCTGACAACCTGGTGACCTGGTGTAGCCAGAATAACTTAGAGCTAAATGCTCTAAAGACAGTTGAGATGGTTGTGGACTTCAGAAAAGAATAACAACAACAACAACCGCCATTCGCCACTAAGTGGTGGTGACGTCACCACGACGCTTGTGCCAGGCCATGTGCACCTTGAGGCCACGTGAAGTGTCGAACGCCCGTGGGCAGGAGGTCACGGGGCAGACCCAGGTGCCACAGGTCGACTGACTGAGATGACTGGCTGGTGCACCACCTGTGCCCCCTACTGTGCCAACCTGCTGTGCTTTAGCCACCCGGCGCTCCGCTCTTTGTTGTGAGCATCGCTCCTCCGCCCTCCGTTGTTGTTGGAGGGCGACCGCCTCCAACTGCCCAAACAGCTTCCCTCACGAGCCTCCTCCACAGAGGCCGACCCCGACACCGCCGGCACCAGCCACCGCCAAGTCCACTCAGCTCCACGTCCTCCTGCACCACACCACTCTATCTCCTCCCTAGCCCGCGCCGTGCCCATCAAAGCCCCCTCGATCTGGCCGAACAAAAGCTGCCTCGGCATGCGGCTGGGCACGCGGGCCACACGACCCAGCCAACGCAGCCCTGCCCGCCGGAGGAGCTCACCATCTCTTAGTGGCACGCTGCAGTCTCAGCAGCAGCGTCTCCAACTCCTCCTCTGAATGAGCAGCCATTACCAAATCATCGGCATACATAACGTGGTTGAGCAATAGGGAGCCATCCCTTGACCGCACCCGGGCATCAATCAGCCTCCCATTATATCTGTACCAAATGGAGATTCCCCCGGCAAAGCTATTGAAGGCCTCATGAACTACGTGGTCAAAATAGATGTTAAATAATGTGGGAGTCAGAGGACATCCCTGTCACCCCAAGGTGTACAGGGAATGGCTTTGACTCCCGGCCACGTAGTTTCACCCGGGCTCGCCCACCATCATGAAGGTCCCCAATGATCGTGAGCAGAGGGTCAAGGACTCCAAAAGCACGAAGAACAACCCAAGGCCCAGCCCGACCGATGGCATCATAAGCCTTGACCAGGTCAAGAAAACAGAGACGCAGGTCCTGCTGGAACTCCCACACCTCTGCCGCAGCAGACGGACAGAAAACATGGCATCTGTGCAGGACCACCCCTTCCCGAAACCGCACTGGGGCTCCGCAAGCCTCTCCCCAGTGTGCCCGGCGAGGCGATACCGAATAATCCTCGCCAGGACCGTTCCCGGCACAGTGAGGAGTGAGATGCCCCCGTAGTTGCCAAAGTCTGTGCAGTCCCCCTTCCTAA